ATATAATTAAGTCAAAAAATATTCAATATTGGGCTTATTTCGAAGGTATTAACGCGACGATTATAATGGTGTAACTTGTTAAAATTAAAACGTATTTTTTAAACATATTTTAATTGATATACGATTATGTATGTTAATTTGATCAGGGTATAAAATGAAAATTTTAAAAGGAAAGAACGTAAAGTAAATTAATTAACTAATTATAGGGTATAAAATGAAAAACTTAACCGAACAAACGAACGAACACAAACAATAAACGAACGAAAATCTTTGTGTTCGTGTTCGTGTTCGTTCGTTTAGAAATCAGGTGTGTTCATGTTCGTTTATATTCGTTTGTTAATGAAGTATAATTTAAAAATTAACAAGTATATTAAAAAATGAGTATGTAAGATGAACAAGATCAATAAAGGGTATGAAAATGTTTCCTGCAAGGTTAATTTAGTTGTTAGATCTAATTTTAGTTAATATAAAATTATGTATTTTAATATGATAATGGTGTAAAAATAAATGATGTATCACAAATTAAATAAAGAACTATAAAAGTATAAATTATAAATATTAAAAGTATTTTTTTCACAGTATATATAATATATAATAATATAATTAAGTCAAAAAYYATTBAATATTGGACTCATTTCGAAGGTATTAACGAGACGATTATAATGGTGTAAYTTGTTAAAATAAAAATGTATTTTTTAAACATGTTTTAATTAATATACGATTATGTATGTTAATTTAATAAATGTGTAAAATGAAAAATTTAAAAGTAAATGACGTAAATTAAATTAATTAACTAATTATAGGGATATAAAGTGTAAATTTAAAATTATTAAAAAAATTCGTTGAGAAAGGGTGGGTATGTGAGGGAGTGATTTGTGAGATAGGGGGGGGGGGGGGGGGGGGGGGGGGTTGAGAAAGTGACGTTAGGGGGTATGTGTAACACCCTCATTTTCACTATGAGTTGTGTCACGTAATTCTCATTAAATAACAATAAATAACCCCAAAATATAGTGGCTAATAAAACCTTATTACARCGGAAGTCTTACAAATTCAATTAAAATTAATAACTCAACGCTAACCCGTCCTATACCGAGTTACATTACAAAATGAGTTTAAGCATAAACCTAACCATCCGAAATATAACAATAATATAATTATCTAGGAGAGAACCTCGCTCTTGTCCACCCTTRAACCTCTTGCACCTGAGATGCATACTAATAGTCAGCTTTATAAAGTTCGGTGAGTTCATGGTTTTTGTGCACAATCATACACACCTCATCATGCATAAAACAAACAATGCCCCAAATAAAATAATATGCACATTTGTTTCAAATCTTTTTGAAATAATAATGAGATCTCTTAATTTCCCGTCAGGTTAAGGTCTTACCGTCATCGGCACTTCCCCGGGTTACACGGCTATCCCTTGTCCGGTCACCCATCCCTAGGATGTGTCATCCCTATGACTTTTGACCCCTTCCCATACCCGACAAAAATATTAACCCGTTTATAACATGCTAATTAATGTTTAAAAACACGTAAACAAATAGCATGCAACCCACAATGATAATTCATATACATGTAATAAACCCATAAACATGTACATAAAAAATAATAATGTAATGCTCAAATAATTTGTACGTAAGCATGCATCTCAATTAAAATTTGATGAAGACTCACCTGAATAGCTTTGTTTGGTTAAACCTCGTCCCTGAGTAATATCCTATAACATGTAATTATATTTCAATAATTAGAGTATTGACATTTCCCCAAAAAGTCAACCCGAAAATCAAATGGGTCAACCTTAGGGTGGGCATGGTCAAACGGGTCAACACCAAGCATACCTCGTCGCCATATACCCCCCTCCCCAATGGAATTTTTCATATCCGAAATAAATTACGACGTATTAAACCCAACATTTAATTATATATGATTCCCGTTATAAAAACGTCCGATCACACAATTATCTAGTCACAACTCCCGAAATAAGTTAATAAATTATTTCTTATAATTTAAATATGAAACTCTAATTAATTAATAACTTTTACAATTGATGTCCAAAT